AAAAAAAAAAAAAAAAGAATTACGCTAACTCTATCTTCCTATACTCTTTAAGTTGAACAACAAAGCATGTCTATTTACAAGATGGTTTACTGAATATTTTAAGCCGAGTGTTGAGACCCACTGCTCAGAAAAAAAGATTCCTTTAAAATACTACTGTTCACTGACAATGCACCTGGTCACCCAAGAGCTCTGATGGAGCTGAATGGGCAATGAGATGAATGTTGTTTTCATGACCGCTAACACAACATCCGTTCTGAACATCCATGGTTCAACGAGTCATTTCGACTTTCAAGTTGTATCATTTAAGTAATCTATTTGATAAGGCTATAGCTGCCATAGGGAGTGATTCCTCTGATGGATCTGGGTGAAGTAAATTGAAAACTCTAGAAAGAATTCACCATGCTAGATGCCAGTAAGAACTTTGTGATTCATGGGAAGGGAAGAGGTCAAAGTATCAACATGAGCAGGAGTTTGGGAGAAATTGATTCCAACCATCATGGATGACTTGGAGGGGTTCCAGACTTCAGGGGAGGAAGTGACTGCAGCTGGGGTGGCAGGAGCAAGAGATCTAGAAGTGGAGCCTGCAGGGGGCACTGCGTGGCCGCCCTCTCAGGATAAAACTTGAGTGGGTAAGGAGTTGCTTCTTATGGATGAACAAAGAAGGTGATTCCTTTTCTTTTTTTAAAGATTTTGTTTATTGATTTGAGAGAGAGAGCATACAAGAGAGCGTGAGAGAGAGCGCATGAGCAGGGGGAACAGCAGAGGGAGAGGGAGAAGCAGGCTTCCTGCTGAGCAGGGAGCCCGATGCGGGACTCAATCCCAGGACCCTGGGATCATGACCTGAGCTGAAGACAGATGCTTAACCAACTGAGCCACCCAGTGCCCCAAATAAGGTGGTTTCTTGAGATGGAATCCACTCCCGGTGAAGAAGCCATGAAGGTGGTTGAAGTGACAACAAAGGACTTGCAATATCACATAAACTTAGCTGATAAAGCAGCAGCAGGGTCTGAGAGGACTGACTCCAATTTTGAAAGAAGTTCTGCTGTGGGTAAAATGCTGTCAAACAGCATCGAGTGCTACAGAGAAATTGTTTGTGAAAGCAAGAGTCCATCAGTGCAGCAAACTTCACTGTTGTCTTACGTTAAGAAATTGCCACAGCTTACCCGTCCTTCTGCAACCACCGCCCTCATCAGTCAGAAGGCAAGATCCTTCACCAGCAAAAATATTACAGCTCACTGAAATGTCAGATGCTGGTTAGCGTTTTGTAGCAATAAAGTATTTTTTAATTAAGGTATGTATTTTTTTAGACATAGTGCTTTACACACCCTGGACATAATGCTATTGCAGACTTAATTAAGCTTCTGTGTGCACAGGGAAACCAAAAATTGATTTCACTTGCTTCATTGCAATCTTGTCTTTATTGCAATGGTCGGGAACCAAACCTGCAATATCTCCCATGTATGCCTGTTCCACGAGTCTCAGTCCAGAGCGCAGCTGAGGGGCTGCAGGGGTGGGCTGGGGAGGAGCCAGGATTCCCAGCCGCAGGTGCGTGTTCTGGCCTTGGGCCTCAAACTAGAAATTCCACTTTGCCTGCCAGGGGCCCAGGCGGGGCTGTCTGTCTCTCCTGGGCTCAGCACCAGACTGGGTGGGTGGGGCTGAGTCTCCTGCCTCACTGGTGTGGGGGGCGTTGCTTGTGAACTGGAGAGGCCTGGAGTGGGAGGGGATTATCTGGGGGGCGGGGGTGGGTCTGGGTACTGCCAGGGAAACATCTCCTGAAGGAGAGAGTTTCTGTCCAGGGCAGTGACCCTTGACCCTAGCAGACACAGAAGGACTCACATTTATTGAGCATCAGCGATGTGGCCCTGGCCTGGGTGTGCTATTTAAGCCACCCGGAGTCCTGGGTGAGAAGGATTATTGTATCCATTTTACAGAGGAGAAACTTGAGGCTCAGAGAGGTTTAAGATTCACCAGGATTACACAGCTGGTCACTGGCAAAGCCAAGATTTCAACCTGTGTTTCAGGGACTCGGTAGCCTGAGTTCTGTCCCCACTTCAGGCTGTGGCCTCCTTTCCACAAGCCACTGCCCTCAGATTAAGCATTTCTAGCAAAGACCTGGGAGGTATCCTGACAGCTCCAGGGCCGGTGAGGGGTGGACCAGCCTTTGGTTTCCTTTACAAACATTTGACTCCCCAGAAGGAGAGGAGCTGGGGTCTGAGGCCTTTTGAGCAGCAGTGGAAGAGTCAGACCTTGGGAGAGTCTCTTCCCCTCCCTGTTTCCCCCTTTCCCCACCACGGGGGGTCAGGGAGGTTATGGTGATCAACACATGCCAGCTACCTCTGGAGTTCTAGGAGTTGGTGCTGTCATGTTCCTTCTCTCTGGCAGAACCAAGGAGAGCATGTATCACTCGCTGACGTATGCCACCATCCTGGAGATGCAGGCCATGATGACTTTTGACCCTCAGGACATCCTTCTGGCTGGCAACATGATGAAGGAGGCACAGACGCTGTGTCAGAGGTCAGGGCCAGGGGGCGGGCAGGGATGAGGGGTTGTGAGGGCCATCCTTCTGTTACCTTCGCCTATCCCTATGCCTAAAATGCCACTATTAATGATGCTCCTTTTGGCTAAGAAGATGTGTCCCCAAGTGCTAAGAGCTGTCCCTGTCAGCTCTGCTTCAGGAGCCTTGTTGTCTGAGCCAGTCTCTAAGCAACTGCCAGGGGCCAGGCCTAATTTCATGGAGATGAATTCTGGCTCTGTCGCGTAATAACTCTTTGATCTTGGGCAAGTCCCTCTCTGGACTCAACTTTCTTCATATGGAAAATAGGTATTAAGATAGGGCCTTTGTGGGGACTGAATGAAGTCACTGGTCACAGGACCTGGTGCATAATTGGCGTTCAGTACACATAAACTGCTTGACTGAATGAATGAATGGACGGATCCTCAGTGCTGTGCACAGGTAGTATTGTCTTTCACTGGGCACACGCGCATGCTGGCCCTAGGCCGGCCGCCGTGCTGGGCACTGGCTACCCAGGGAAGCATCAGACCTGGCCCCTCTGACACCGGAGCTGGCTGGCCTGGGAGAAGGTGCAGCCAGTGACCTCCCAGCCTGATGCAGGGAAGTTCCAGGGGCTGTGGGGGTCTTGCCAGAGGAGTAGGAAAGGTTTCCTGGAGGAGGCGATGCTGGAGCTGGGTCCTAGAGGGTGACGAGGAACTGGCTGGGGCTGAGGAGGGAGGGGAGGGGCTCCAAGTAGGGGTAACAGCAGAAGCAGGGGCGTGAGAAAGCCTGGACTCAGTTGAGCGTGTGTGGAGTCCCATGGGAAGGGTAGCAGATGCGTCTGAGCCCACCTGGGCCCTTGCTCACCCTCACTGAATGACTTGAGGCCCCTCTTTCCTCTTCAGGCACCGGAAGAAGTCCTCTGTAACAGATTCCTTTAGCAACCTGGTTCACCGCCCCACGATGGACCAGTTCACAGAAGGTGTGGCATCTGAATGTCCTCTCACCCCCGCTGACCCCAGGCCACCCAGTTCCTGGCCCAGGGAGGGGTGGGGAGGGGCACTTAACCTCCCAGTTTCACTGAAGGGGCCGGGCCCTGGCCTAGGTGCTGGGACACAGATGGGTCAGACCTGGGGCCTTTGGACAAGTTGCTCTCAGGTGAGTTGTGGGGGTCAGGGGGTGCTCACTTACCTGATGGCATTACCTGCTGAGGACCCAGAAGCTGGGGAAAGAAAACGCTGTCACGAGGTCCATGTGCTTTGCTCCTCAGGCCAGGGTGGGCTTCGAACTGTGTGTGCAGTTAGGTTTACTGGCCTGATGATCTCAGTGATGATCTGTGCCCCAGAGGGGATTGTGGTTTTGGAGGCTGGCCCACTGGGATGAGACAGCTGAAAGCAGTGTGAGGGATGGTCTAGGCCACCTGTGTGCCGTGAACGCCTATGGCCGGCCTGGCAGTAGCAGCGGCCAGCCGTGGGGGGCGGGGGGCTCTTCCATGCAGGAGCAAATGGCCTTCCCCACCCTCAAGAGCCCTTGAAGTTTCCAGCACAAAATAATGAATATGACAGTGCCCCTCCCTCCTTCATGCCTTCCAGAGCTCCCCGATGCCCACAGGCCAAATGTGCAGCCCTCCACCAGCATTCAAGCCCTTTGCAACCAGACCGCTGCCCCTCATCTTTACCTGTCCCCTAAGTCTCTCCCTACCTCACCCTGTTTCAGCCTTCTGTGCTTGGCTGTCCCCAGACATCAGAGTTTTTGGTTCTCCCAGGCCTCTGCCTTGAAAGCTCTTCCTGCCTCTTCCTTCCATTCCTTTTCAAGTCAGATGGCCCGACCCGAATGTCCTTTCTTCTGGAAGTCTCCCCAGAACCCCTGGACTGTGTTAGTTTTCCTTCCCTTACTCCTACAGCCTGTGGGCTTCCCTGGATCAGGATCTTTGTTTATCCATTCAACCCAGCACCTTCTCCCTGCCTGGCACTGTGGGGGCTTGGCGCACAGCACCCCTACAGGGGTGCTCGGAGAACAAGAAAAGGGAGCCCAGGGCCCAGGGCCACTTGGGGTGATGGGCTGGGGGGAACCAGGTGGAAGGCAGGTGGGGGGAATGTGAGCTAATTTTGGACAATGGTGAAAGCTGTGAAGGAGCCGGCCCCCTCCCCCCATGGTGGGGGAGGGGGAGGGTGCTGACTCAGGCTCCCTCTGCCTTCTGGGAAGTAGGGCGTGGAGGATTTGGCCCCTGCCGCCTGCCCAAAGTCCCAGGAGGCCTCAGGGCTTTGGTTCTCTCCTTGTAGAGGAAATCCATGCTGAGGTCTGCTATGCGGAATGCCTGCTACAGAGAGCAGCTCTGACCTTCCTGCAGGTAGGAGCCCTCTCCTTGTACAGAGGGCCTGGGGGTTTCCCATCCGTCACCATCTCGAAGCCGGAAGTAGCTATAGCAGCCCCAGCCGGCCTCCTTGCGGTTCCGGAGGACTGAGGCTCGGTGACCCCAGCACTAGCAGCCCTGGCCAGGCTCACTGGCCGTGGTGATGGGCTTTACCCCCCACACTGAGCACACGTGTCCCACCCACTGCGAGAATGCGCTGCCGCCGTGTGGGGTGATGGGCACTGGCACAGAGCCTGCTTTACACTTGATCCATTCAACACGCAAGTTTGAATGGATCCAACTTGATTCTGAGACGTACCAGGCTTTGTGTGCACATTACAGCTATGTGGTTTTACCTACCTTACACCGAATGCATGGTCGTTTTTTTGTTTTTTTAAAGATTTTATTTTTCAATGGAGAGAGAGAGAGACAGCGAGAGAGGGAACACAAGCAGGGGGAGCGGGAGAGGGAGAAGCAGGCTTCCCGCCGAGCAGGGAGCCCGATGTGGGGCTCGAT